GGCAGATCTATAAGTCTCACCCGTCCGTTTTTTCACGGTTGCCCAAAATTCAGAATGTTGGCTTTGCGCGTGGATTTTGGGTGAGTTTTTCGTACTGTCACGGATAGTGTTTTGAGCCTGATTTGGCATATTTTGAGCCTGATTTGGCGTATTTTGAGCCTGAATTGGCATAGTTTGAGCCTGATTTGGCATAGTTTGAGCCTGACTTGGCATAGTTTGAGCCTTTTTGGCGTGCTTTTGAGTCAATGTGGTCTCGACACGTGTGTTTTGTGCCTACATCGGTATTTTTGCTGGAATTGGTCATTAGCGCAGTAATTGTTTGATTTTCACGATATTTTCTTTTCTTTCAGATGTTCTGAGTTCCGGGATTTGGCTTGAAGCAGCCTCATTGTCCGATTCCTCTTTGAGTGACATGGTTCCAGGCCTTATTAATCTGCAATTAGATGCTAAGGCTCCGTCCACGGTGCTGAAGTACAAGTCTGGCTGGTTGAGGTGGCGCGAGTGGGCTCTGTCGAAGATTGGTGTTCCCGTTATTCCAGCAAAACCTTTGCATATCGCATTGTTTATCTCCGAGCTAGCTAAGCGTTCTTCCGAGAATAACATCGGTGTATCTTCTATAGAATCTGCCGTTTATGCTATTAAGTGGGGCCACGCAATGGCCGGTTTTGAGGCTTGTCCTGTTAGCCATCCCTTAGTAAAGTTTGCGTTAGAAGGCGCCAAAAGAAGGCTTGCCCGACCTGTTCAGCCTAAGGAGCCGCTGTCGGTTAGCACCGTACAGGCGATTGCTACGCATTTTGCCTCAAGCGCTTCACTTTCCGATCTTCGTTTTTATTTATTCTTTTAGTTGGTTTTGCAGGCTTTTTTCGCATTGACGAGATTAGGAATATAGCACTTCGTGATGTCTCAATACATAGTGATCATATGTCAGTTTATTTACCTCAGCGCAAAAACGATCAGTATAGGGAAGGCCACACTGCTTTTCTCGCTAGAACCGGCAAGGTTACTTGTCCTGTAGCCGTGACCGAGCGGTTGATTAAGCTTTTGCCACAGTCTTCCTCTGCGTTGCCTTTAGTTCGCAGAATTGTCAAAGCCAAGTCTAAGGAGTATTTTCATTGTAGTTTGGGTGTTTCTGTTTCCACTTTTAGGGAGGAATTTAAGAAGCATATCAGACCATTTGTTAGTGATATTTCTAAGTACGGCACACATAGTATGAAGTCTGGCGCGGCTTCAAATCCGGCTTGTAGGAAAATAGCTGGCGACTTGTTAGATATTCATGCTGGTTGGAGGTGTGAATCCACTAAGCACAGATATATTAAGCATGATCTTAGCGAGCGTTTAGCCGTATCTAAGGAACTTTCCATTTAGTTGTCTATGATATTCGTATATATATTTTATCTTTATATATTTTCCAGTATTCGTTGGCGATTGTTTAATCGGAATTAGATTTTCGCTTTTGCTGGCTTTGTAATTTTGAGCAATTTATTTAATATATAGAGTCCTGGCGGGGGACGTAAGATGTGCCTGGCCCGTCCCAGATTTCCTGCCCTTTTTTCCCTACGGGGTTTTTTGGGGCAGGTTTTTTCTGGCCACCCTGGTACGCTTACATGTAGCTTTAGTTTAATTACCTTTGCTGTAGCTATGTTCATTTTTTGACTATCATTAAAGTGGGTTATGGCGTTACTCCCAGGCCATATCCAATATTCTCCAGTATTTGTTTGGCTATTTTCGTTTCTTGTTTTTCTATTAACTTCTGGTAAGTGCAGAAACAAGGCTTTTGACCAGAATCCCTCCTTTACTTTTTAGAACAAAATAGAGTGTTTTCCCGGCCCCGATTTTGCCACTAGGGACCTCACGTCAAGGCCAGGACTGCTTTTTTGAGAACACTCTTCTATAGCTACGACCAGGATAACATTGACTCGCCAGGAAATATATTCCGCCAATCACCGCCAAAGAAATCAATTTGGGAGATGGGTTAGGGTAGATTTGAAAACTGAGAAAGGTTTTTGTTGTTGTTGTTTTCATTAACAGCAATCAGCCTTTGAGCTTTCAGAAATTCGCAGGGCGCACGACATTTGAATTTTAAAGGAAACTATCGAAATGAAATGATCAATAACCAGATAACTTAGATACGTCTTTATAAAAATTGCTTACCATTGTTATCAGGTTGTAAATTAAAAGTCTTGCAAATCACTCCCACTTCATAACCTGGCGAAAGATCGCTGTCGACCCAGTCTTGGTATGAACATCGTTGTAAAGTTTTCTCTGTACCTAGACACCGTACACCTGACATCAAAACCGGTCCTGAACCCTCTCCAAAAGCTGAGTACCCCACAGCGGTAATGGCTTCTGGGAAACCGAGCTGCCTGCACACAATGTCAGCCTCCTTTTTACGCCAATAATAAGGATAGCTTATCACACGTCCCCAGACTCCATGTGAAAACACTTCGACGCGACCAGCAAAGGTTGAGTTATGGCCAGTCAGTCGAACGTACGTTTCTAAACAACAAAATCACCTCACGTCACTTAAAAACGGTTACGATCGCTATAAGCATAATGCTCGTATCAAATGTTAATAGTAGGGTATGGATGTTTTACTTTTTTTTTGAGGTAGAATCTCTGACGTCATAGCCTTAAGTCTTAATGTTATAAATAAATGCGGTAGAATATCAATAAAATAATGTCATGTGCTATATATATTTTGGTGGTTTAACCAGTTTGACAGGTTAACATGTCCTTATTTGGCACGCAAATCGTAGGAGGAGGAGGAGGAAGGAAAGAATAGAAATGTGGTGGTAGTGGTGAAGGGAAAATAAAGTCTTGAGGGTGAGCGTAATAATTAAATTGTGCGTAAGCAGGAAGGGGGAGGGGTATTTAAAAAATTGTGTTTTGTGCAAGAAAGAACTATTTTGCCTTCGTCCTCGTTAATATGTATAATTTCCTAGTGTAAATCGTAACTGGAACAATTTGTTGTCTGCAATGGACAATGAAGGGGGCAGGACATAGAGCTTGAAAATAGCCCACGTTCAATATATTAAAATTCTAACATGACTTGGAGGCTTTCTGGTCATTTTTCTAGATTTTGTTTGGTTTTCTTTGTGCTCAAGTCTCTGCTGTGTATTGAGTGACAATGGGTCGTGAAAAATTTGCCATTTTGTCCCTAAATCCTAGGAGTCATGTTAGAGTTTTAATATATCGAAAGTGGGCTATTACGTTACGGCTCGGTGATTTTAAGTGAAATAAGTACAAGATCCCTTAACCACCAAAAAATAGCCCATCTTAGATCTTAGCTTACTGAGATTCCACCTCTTTTTATTTGTAAGATAGAGAGGCATGAAGTCAGTTGCATTTTTACATTCTATCGCAAGTTAATGAAATTCCACCGCAGTAAAGGACTAAAACATCCCTACTATACTACTACAAGAGAGAATATTATTCTGTCTTGAAAGAGTCTTTAAGGAGTCATTAACCATACAACTGTAAATACTGTATAATATTTAATGTCTGAATCTTATAAAGAAGTTGATTCTACTATGATCAAGTTATTAGGCTGTTCAAACTGGCCAAGGTCTAAAGGTTGATTTCCACTGATGCGGTTTTGGCTACGCACGTTAACGCACGTAAATTTTAATCACGTAAATAAAATAGAGGCAAGATATAAATTGTTGAGATCAAACGTGAAGTTAAGCGAGGTTCTACTTTTAAGCTTACGTGAGACCTCTCATACACTGCCTCTATTTTATTTGCGAACTTAAATTTTACGCATGTACGCACGTAAAAATTATAGTGGAGGTCAACCCTAAGGGCTGTCCGTATAACAGATTTTAACATAGTTTCCTAGTGGTGGCAGGGGAGGTCTGACTACCGATTGTAACATTAGCCATTAAATTAATTACTTTCTTGGACCTTCCCCGTTGAAAAATTTAAAATGAAAGCGTTAGAACCCCAACGCTTTCATTTATCCTTAAATGGAATGGGGGACTGCGCAATAATCATCAGAAGGAAGGGCTGAATTGAGCCTTACATAGAGCATTATTACGTTGTGCCCCTGCTAACAAAGGCACGCTAGTTCTAACCCCTCTCCTTGTCACTAAAAGAATTATGACCAGCCCTTCTACTTACATTTACATGAATTCACCCGTGGCGGATTCAGACCTTCAGATAAGGAGGGGGGCGGTCTTCCAGACCCTGAGATGGAAGCGGGGGGGTGGGGGGGGGGGGGAACGGTCTCAAAAAAAATTTTTTCCGCCCTTCGGGCCTCATTTTGGTCTAAAAATAAGGGGGGGGGGCGGACACCCGGGCCCCTCCCCTGGATCCGCCAATGTTCACTCGTTTTTTACTGTAATAATGTTTGACGAAGCCAAATAGTCCGATTGCGCATCGTCCCCTGAGTTGTCCTGTGAATCACTGGATTGCAGCTCCAAGTCATCTGCGTGTCTACCCTTGATTTATGCGAGGGCACCCAATGACTGTTTTCTGTAAAATATCTGTCCGGAGAAGCAAAAATTGCCTAGAATTTTTTATTGCTTGAGGAAGGCTAAAAATTTCTAGATGACTGTCTCATTCATGTACAATTTTTGAAGCTTATCTTATAAATTCCCTACGATTTTTCGCATTTACTCCCCAGATTAAGCTACTTTTTCGTAGTAAAAGAAAACCCAAAAGTTCGGATTCGAAAATGTAAACATTTTGATTCCAAACACTATTTAAGTTTTTCTTTTGTGTGTGTTTGTTTTATCTCTCTCTATATATACCATTTATTATTGGATTACCATTATTGTATAAAGTAGAAGTGCACTTGGCACAATAAACTTCTTCTGCTCCCCTAAAAAAGATGTTATATTACATCCCTACCTCCCCATAACGGGCACCTCTCCAAAAGGGCCACTTTCTTCTGAACCGAAGGCGACCGTTGTGGAGAGGTTCGACTGTACTGCTCGTTCTTAGTTATGCAATTTGATTACAGATAAATCATGGGGGAAGGGGGGTGTGGAATGGATGGAACCCCTCCCCTCATTTTTTGATATGTTGCAGTATTTTGAAACGCTTTTACCTCTAGTGGAAAACCTTTGATCTTCTTAACAAGATGAGGTATATTTAACGGGTGGTGGCTCTGCTGGAGGCCTGTGACATCACCAACAATGGTCGCCATCTTGGATTTTACCAAGAATAAGAAATCAAGTTAAGGTGTTTCGGTACAGTTTTTTAGAGGCCATACCGATATTTTTCAATCGCCTTAGAAGTGGTTTTTTCCTTGTCCAATCGCCATAACATTTTCACCAGTAATTGGCTATGGATTGAAATTTGTGAAAAAGTAGTTTTAAGGAAAATCGACATTACTATGATAACAATAAACACAAAATTTGAAATTGATAAAAGCCGAATTTTGCGTGAACTAGACCAGCTACTGAAAATCTAACACTAGGAACTTAAAGTTTGGTGTTTAGCAAATAACCTCCGTAAGAAGTAAAAAATTTTGTATGTTTGAATTCGACTAAAACGAAAATATATTTCAAACCTTAAATTTTCAATAGCCGTGATAGATTATTTAATAAAAACGTTATTAATGACTCAAATTATTCTTAAGTAGAGTCAGAATGCTGCTTAGTATCATATTTTGATGCTAGGAAATTTTGGTGTATTTTCGTTCTTGCGATCTTACCGCTGGTCCTTACCGGTTAAAAATCTGCGTTACAACATTCACTGTTTTGACGTTATGCTAATTTTTCCAAAATAATGCGCACTATACATACCTCCATGACTAGTACAATTTAGTTTGAATTTATCGCAACTTTTGAATGTAAAACATTGACAATACTCACACTGAGATGTACTAGTCATGGATATATGTATTGTCTGCATTAATTTGGAAAAATTAGCATAACTTCAAAACAGTGAATGTTGTAGCGCGGATTTTTGACCTGTTCGTAGGATAGGTTTGTCTTGAAATTTCAAGGTGTTGCAGTGAATCAATCTTAATGAAAGTTTCAGACATTATTATATACAATATGAAGATTATTTGAAGAGATTTTTAAAAAATTCGTTCTAGTTGTTTCAGAGAAATACAAAAAAATTTCGAATGAAGTTGCACTTAGACAGGTGGTGAGAAGATGGGTTAGTTCTTAAGATCGTAAGAACCAAAATACACCAAAATTTCCCAGCATCGAAATATGATATTAAGCAGCATTCTGACGCTACTTAAGAATAATCAGAGTCATTTATAACGTTTTTATTAAATAATCTGTCACGGCTATTGAAAATTTAAGGTTTGAAATACATTTTCGTTTTAGTCGAATTCAAACATACAAAATTTTTTACTTCTTACGGAGGTTATTTGCTAAACACCAAACTTTAAGTTCCTAGTGTTGGATTTTCAGTTGCTGGTCTAGATCAAACATGTTGTCATCGTAATATCGATTTTACTAAAACCTAAATTTTGACAAATTTCAATCTATAGTCAATCATTGGTGAAAATGTTATAGCGATCAGACAAGGATAAAATCACTTTTAAAGCGATTGAAACATATCGGTATGGCCTCTGAAAAACTACATCGAAACACCTTAAAACCGCGAGAAATGGTATTTTTTTGTACTTTACATGAAAAATAACACATAAATTAGCACTTTGAAAAAAATGTATTTTCACCCAAAATTGGCTTGACTACCTGCTACTTATTACGTCATTTCTCGTAACCATAGCAACTGACCATCACTAAACATGTCTCAAAATGTGCCCGAGGGATGAACGAACAGTGCTGAAAACGTCAGGTACTGATGTTTTATCCTCTAGGAAAAAAATCAGAAAAGCCTTATGGGGGGAAAGGGAGAGGGGGGGGGGGGGGAATTCAACCCCCTCCCTTGTACGTCCAAGGGTTAAATGATCATCGAAAGAAACCAGCACTGATTATTGTTGGTAAAACAGCTTGCTAAAAAGAAAACTAGATACCACTACCCTCCTCTTTAAGAGGAACTTACATGTTCCGGACCCTCCTTTAGGCTAGTACGATTTTACGAGGTGCCTTCCCCCTCTGGTTTTACAGCCCCGGCTCCTTATAATCATTGCCCAATCCTGCCCTAACTAAAAAGCTGTGAAATTTATGTCCAAAGTAACATTCAAAACTAGAGTATTAAAAATATTTAACAATTATTCTTTGAAATCGAGGTGAATAGTGGCTAAATATTTACTGAGCCGCGAAAGCGGAGAGGCAAAAATTCCCAAAGCCACTATTCACCGAGATTGAAAAGAATAATTCTTTTAGTACATACACACGAAGTGATTTCAACAAAATCAGAGAGGAAACCATTAAAAAGTACGATTTGATTGACAGATCAAATCACGCTTAAGTTTAAAAGTAGATCTTTGCAGAATTTTTAAACATGGCAATTCACAAGTATATCATTTCGCAAACAACAGCGTAATGGCTACAACCCGTAAGAACGTTTGCGTGGGAGGCTTCGTAATGGCTTAAATGGAACCGCTAAAAGTTTGAACTGTTTGCTTAT